TTTATTCTATCTTATTTATTACAGGCATGGACATTCTATTACACATTCGGAAAAGTACAGAGTTTAATACACTCTATACCCAAATCCATATTCAAAACCTGTTTCTATTTTTCCTTATTTGCATCACTAGCTATACTTTCTTTTTAATGTAAATGATAGATACTTTGACACTTCGTTCTAAATATATCAAGCATATATCTCCAAAAAGTAATATTCTCAAATTTTAATACAATTCTATTATTACAGCTAAAATAATTGAGATGAATCACGTAATATTACAAAAAACCCACAAATTCTATATTTGAGCATATTCAGATATCCTAAAAGTGTATTTATAGCTTGTTTGTTCACACTTGGAGTCAATCAAGAATCACACATTGTATTTGGTTGTGTTGGTTCTTAAATCTCTGTTAATCTACAATAGACCCAACTTTTTTTCTGTTTACTTTTATGACATAGAAAGTCTATTGCCAGTGGTTGTCCATTTTCAAATTTGTAACATAGAATTGATTTCTTTATTCTCTGAAGCATATTATGTCATTACATTACACAACAACTTCCTGAATTTATTCAATATGTACATATTGAATTATGAGTGTATGTCAGCCAGAGAACATATAGCTATGACAGAAAAAAAAAATAACCAGAAAGATCTGTCTTTCTTTTTGCTCTAAATATTTTTTTCTCTTTCCTTTTACGATGCAACTCACTCACTTGAAATAGCTGTGTGGATACAGAACTTTTATGTACTACTACTTACTAAATTATATGGATGTGTTTTTCCTCATCTCAGAATAGCATATCAATAGATGCTATAAAAGCATGAGGTACATTTGTAAAACATTGAATTCGGTTCCAAATACCTCAAAATTTTTCCCTAAAGAGCACTTTTTGAATGACATTAAGACATAGGAATCTAAGTTCATCAAGCAAAGATGGATGCCTGACTGCTCATCAACTAATCATATATGACTCAAAGAATAGGAATTCAGAGGGTCTATGTCCAGCTTTGTCATGGGTAAATAAGGAAGGCACCCACAAATCTTATGTAAGTCATAGGAGGAAGTGTGGTTCTTTGCAGTGAACCATTTCCTGGAACACACAAAACTCAGGGGATTTTTTAACCTTTGCTGTTTTCCAGGAGCACGTGTTTCTGGTAAAATTCAACATTGTCAGGAGCAGCCAGAGTGATAAGATAACTTATACAAAAGACAATCCCTAATAACTTAGACATAAGATGATCCCTAATGCAAATGGTGCCTGTGTCTGGAAGAAGCAGTGACACCTTCATAAAACTAAACTTTTTCCTTAATAATATGGTGCTTTCCAGCAGAGGCAATAGCAGAGCCCAGGCGAGAAAGTACTGCTCAGAAGCTGAAGTGTAGATCAAGCACATAATGCTTGAAGTAGTAGTTTCTTAAACTTATTTGTGAGTACATGCAGAAAGTCTCCTGAGTTAAAAACCACCATCACCACCACCACCACGACCACAACAACAAAAACAGGGAGGACATTTGCAAAGGTACAGAGTTTCTGCAGAGCTTCTGAAAACAAGAGCCAGTAAAAAATGTGATGTAGTAATGTTATTACTATAAATGTGAATTCGTTTTTACATAGTTTTGATGACTTGTGGAAGTCTAGGTTACAGTCACATAGAAAAATATTTACCCCTTACCTGAAGCGCCCTGAGTTTGAGATCAAGACAAAAATGATACTAAATGTTTCGACTTGGCATGCCTTGAGGCATAATAGGAAGACTGATATAACACTATCCATAGATGGCAGAATACCATTATTTTATAGATATGACTGTCTATGTTATGGTATGTTTTATAATAAACATGTTTTGTTTCAGGAAAGGAAAACAACAGAAATATTTGAGACATCTGAAAGAGTGAAGTTTCCCTAGTGCTGTGAGGAGATTACTAAGAAAAAATGGCATGTAATAATTTTATTTGATTAAAATAAGAACTCAATAATAGATAACAAGCTTCAGGCTAGTTTTAGGAAAAATAATTCTTTCTTCACCTTTTGTTATGTTTTGTTTTGAAGACAGGGTCTCACTCTATTGCCCAGGCTACAGTGCAGTGGCATAATTATGACTCACTGCAGCCCAGCCTTGGCCTCCTAAGCTCAGGTGATCCTCCCAACTCAGCCTCCCATGTAGGTGGGACTACAGGCGCACATCACTACTCCTGGCTGATTTTTTTTTTTAATTTTTGTAGAGACAGGGTTTCACCATTTTGCCCAGGCTGATCTCAAACTCCTGAGCTCAAGTTATCCTTCTACCTCAGCCTCCTAAAATGCTGGGATTACGAATATGAGTCACCATCCCCAGATGACACTTAAAATTCTAAGTAAATTGGACATAATTAGGAATCAGTAATATAAACATTTTAAGGCTCTAATTGTAACCAGCATCCCTTTCAGCATTTTGACAGAAGTTCTGTATCTTCTACTTCAATAATTAAATTTACTTTTCCTCATGCACCTGCATTCAACATTAATTTTAAAAAGATCCTGTCAAATACTACTCTTGAGCTGTTGTTTAATTACTCTTATTAAAATATTTCCAGAAACTACTATGAAGGAATTTGCATAATTTATATTCATATATTGAAAATAAAATAGAGAGTTTGCTGAGGTAATTTCTATTGTCTATTGAAAATAGAGTTTTCAGCTATATTATAAGGTAAATTAAATTGTGTTGTAAAGGTCTGGGTGCAAAACCATAATTTTACCATTTTTTCTGGAAAATATGGGTTCGAGTGTCTAATTAATAAGCTTAAAAATGTTCTGTGGTGAAATTTAAAAGTTTCTTTAAAAGTGCTTGTATGAAAAATAGTTTTTCTCCATGTCTACTACGTAGTGTTTCTCAAACTTGCTACTACGAACACGAGAAGGTTTTTGAAAATATTGCTTTTTTGGTTCCACAAACTCTCTACTAAAATTTTTATTTTAATCTTATCTTTCTATTTTGATAATAATTTGACAATAACCTTATATAAGCATATTCTTTATCAGATACAATACAGCTCTGTTATTTCAGTGCCATGGCTGCCTTTGGGTTTATGATATTTTTGGCTCCAAGTTGTATGATAGGAAGTTAATGAACAAATGAGATAGAGAAGCTACATATGCAATACATTTGTCCCAAGTGAAGCCTAAATTACATGCCTATGACACTATGGAAACAAAAGTTTGGTAGCATTTTAATGTGAGTAAAATGAGAAATTGGGTCATCCCATGGCTTGGGGTTGACTAGGCCTGTGAAACTCAACAGAAAACTTTATCACAGCAATCATATCATATTTTAATTGAGGTTGGAAATTTACTGTTAACAACACATGTTCTATTGTCTCAAATTTACATTGTTAATTTTAATTTTATGGGTTTATAAGTTGCTTGTGCTTAGCTTACAAATTCTCTTTGGTTTCATAGTTATAAATTCAAAGAATAAATTAGAGTTCATCCCAAGATTTATGTTTTTAAGTATTTAATTAATATCATAATGTAATTTAAATTGATACTTGGATCAGCTAGAATTCTTTTTAATGTGAAAAAGGTCCATAAATTCGTCAAACTGGAGAAACTGTTCATTGAATCATATATCTTTTTTTCCCTTTTATACGTGCAAGATAAAGAAGAAAATATCTATTAAATTAGAAGAATTATTTCCAAGTATGTAGTTGAAACTACTTGTTTAACATTATGTCATTCTTTCAATCCACACGTTTTTAGGAGCTCCTGTTATCCTAATATTATTTACCTCTCAAGAAATTTATTAGAACTTGAGAACAGAAAACAACAACAACAGCAAACAACACGTACATTAAAAGAAAAAAAACAAAAAAAAAAAGGCCGGCGCGGGTTGGCTCAAGCCTGTAATCCCAGCACTTTGGGAGCCGAGAGGGGCGGATCACGAGGTCAGGATATGGAGACCATCCTGGCAACACAAGTGAAACCCCGTCTCACTAAAAAATAATAACAAAAAAAACTAGCCGGGCGAGGTGGCGGGGCGCCTGTATGTTGCCCCAGCTACTCCGAGAGGCTGAGGCACCGGGCAGAAGGGTAAACCCCGGAGGTGGAGCCTTAGCAGTTGAGAGCGTGAGATCCGGCCATGAGAGCACTCCAGCCTGGGCCGACAGAGCGAGACCCATTCCGGCTCAAAAAGAAAAAAAAAAAAAGGCCCGGGCCGCCGGTGGCTTCAAAGCTGTATTCACCAGGCACTTTTGGGAGGTCGAGAGCGAGGCGATCAAGCGAAGGTCCAGGAGATCGAAGACCATCCTGGCTAACACGTGAAACCCCGTCCTCTTACTAAGAATATGACAAAAAATAAGCCAGGGGAGGTGCAGCGCCTGTGCAGTCCCAGGAGCTACATCGGGAGCTGAGACAGGAGAAATGGCGTGAACCCGGGAGGCGGAGCCTCTAGCAGTGACGCTGAGATCCGCCGTCCACTCCACTCAGCCCTGGCCCGACAGCGCGGACTGTCCTCTCAAAAAAAAAAAAAAAAAGGAAAAAAAAGAAAATATTATTTTAAGGCCAAATATGTTAGTGCATCAAATAAGTAAATAATTTCTTGACAAACAAGAATTATATACTACTCTTGGAAATATTTTTCGATGAAGACATCCACACGGAGAAATGAATTTACCAGTTTCAATTATTTTATTTGTTGCCATGACAACACTATAGCCAGTTTCCCTTTTCTGTTTTTTTTTTAATTTTTAACATAATATTTATTGAACCTACAATGTTTATTAAATCAAGTATTTTGCCACATGATGGAGGTATAAAATGGAACAGGCCATCACTGTTCTGAAGGATTTTGCTATTTGGGGACTGGGGAGAATCTTATTAAGTACTAGGGCTTGAATTGATTGTATCACATGCTCCTAAAGTTGGTAAAATTGTGAAATCTCTGCTCATTATTTTCAGTTATTTAATAATTTGTGGTGTTTCAGAATTTTTTATATGTATTTATTTTTACTTCGTTTTAGGGTGTGGTTAAGAGAGAAAAAAGTTGCCATTAAGGAATAAGCAAATAAGTTTTCTGACGTGAGGATACAGCACCTATCTCTGAGATCAAAGTCATCCGACCAAAACTGATGCCTCTGAGACTGTAACAGAAGAGTGAATAATGAAATATAAGAATTCTGCACTAACTCTATGGGGAAGAAAACAATGGGTAAGAGCAAAAGGATCAACATCAGCAACTCCTGTGTCCACTGATTTATTTATGAGATGCCGTCTACGTGATTCCAAAATCTCCCAGCCTTTTTCTTCCCTGTCAAGCTTCCCTGTCTCTAAAAGAGATCTTGTTCTTCCTGCACAGAAAGAAATAATAATGTATCATTAAAATATTATTATTACATTCGAAGTTACTTACACTCTTTCCCATTCCTATAATTTCCTAGTTGGAAGCCCTCGCACTTGGGAAATTATTTAATGTGGTTTTTTCTTCCTGACATATAAATTGTCACATCATCTTAAATGTTGGGACTTCAGGTTGGGAAGTGGGTGTATCATATTCTTGAGGAAGCCGCCTTCCTTTTATGGATAACATTACCTCCTTGTAAAGGTTGCTTTCTATGTATTATTCTACTTTTTTTCTAAGACTATACCATACAATGAATCTACAGGCTTGACATCCCATTACTAAGATTATAATTATTGAGGTCTTCAATAGAATTTCAAGTCAAATATGTTTTGTTATATGCCTATTTATATTTCACTCTTTGATTCACCTGATTAGGATCTCAGAATTGAATTTTAATTGCAGATTTATTACTTCTTCACTCTCTTTATGTATTAATTTAAAATTTACTTTTTCCTATCTTCATCTTGGTTCGAGAAGGTTATTTCCCTTTCATTTGATTTCTTTGTTTTAATTTACATGTGCATATTTATTACCTGTATATAAGCAAACATAGAATAGGATAGTATGAGTTAATAAATACATTATCAGAATATTTTCTGTATATCTAATATACATTGCAATTAAAATGCACTGTTTAGCTGAACTGTGCCTCCTAAAAACTGTAGCATATAAAGACAGCTCTATGTGAAATATAAAATTATGTTTTTTTCTCCATGTCTATGATTTATTGAAGTAATGTTCTTCAGGACATTTTTAAATTTTTTTTTAAATTTATAATTGGCATAATAATTGTACATATTTATAGGGTACAATGTGATGTTTCAATGCATGTAGATAATATAATGATCAAATTGGGATAACTACCGTATCTATCACTTTAAACATTTGTCGTTTTTATGTGACAGGTGACCACATTTAACATATTCTGTTTTAGCTGTGTTGAAATATACACCAAATTGTAGTTTGCTATAGTCATCCTCCTGGAATTATTTTTTTTCTGAGTTTAGATTTTCAGAACACCACAAACCTGAAACCAAATTATTAATCAAATTGACAGAAAAATGTTATTCTTATTAATAAAAATACCATTTTATATGTATATTTGTAACTGCAATGTCTATTGTGAGCTGTAATCCCTTTATGGAGGTAAATATGCAAATAAAATAAGCAAATGGTGAAAAAGCAGCCTTTCAGACTGACTACTTTCTAAATAGATCCAAACTTCCATCCAAATAAGAAGGTGTAATATTAAAATTTTAAGACTTCTAAGTCATTTTGTGGGGGTAAAGGATTAATATTACATTTCAGGAGTTGGATTAGAACAGTGAGTAAAATGAATAAGATAAGGAATTCAAGATCTTTTCTTAAATATATTGAACTGTGATGACCCATGTCAATTAAAATTTTCCAGGTTATGTGACAGACACTATAACCTTTACAAACATAAATTGTGGAGATTTGTATTTTGAATAAGGTTCAACTAAGTAGAAATGATAGCCTCCATAAAGTTATTTACTACTCCTGGAATTTTTTTTTTATTAAAAAAAAATGTTATTGTAATTACAGTAGTGAGTTATATATAATGTCTCAATGGCAGTTGTAGTTGATTGTCCCCCAAAATAACATTACTATTCTATATAGCTAAGTTTATTGGTTTCAGCACAACATAAATAGGCCTGTGTTTGAAAACAAAAATTTAACCTCTCTTATTGAGGTTATCCTTTCTATTTACCTCAACCTTATTCATCTTTCTAGGCATTATCATATAGTGAAAAATACTGAAATATACAGATAAATATTATTTATAAATATCACAGCCACCATTTACTGAGCCATCACCCACCATGTGTCAGGCATGTTAAGGATGTATCATACATCATTTCCAACACCCTGAACAGCACGCAGTGTAAATTTTGTTATCTCCACTGAAATTTCCCCCAGTGATTATAAGCAAACTGAGCTTAAAAGATGCTAAAGTGGCCAAGTACATAGAATGAGTGATTGACATGGATTCAAAACCAGACTTGAAAACTCAATCTCTTTCTACCAACAAAAGTTCCTTAGAAAACAAATAAGTCAATACAAAACAATTGGGGATAGTCCCTACCTTTCAATGGCCATAATATTGTGTTTGATTTTTAGAGATCTCACGACAATAATGTGGATACTCCTGCTCAAAAATGTTTGTTTACTTTAATTATCAGTTCCATAAAGTATTTTACATTTATTTATAATTTGTTCTGAAATTAAATCTGCATATTAGGGGATGTCACAATGTGATCTGACGCACGTTGGAAGACTCCGAGACCCTTTTAGTGGGTCCAAGAGTGCCTCAGTTTGTTTTCAAGTACTTATCTGTACATAGCTGGATCTTCTTTATATACTTCAACTAGAACAACATAACAGACTGAGTTCAGAAAAGTGGAATATTCAGTTGTTTTCTACTAAGCAATCATTAAAGAGTTTCACAAAAATACAAAGCAGCACAGATCTTCTCATTAAACTTACTTTTGCTTTGCAGAATAACCATTTGTCATCAAAATGTTACTTTTGTTAATATTTATGTATATATTATTACTATTTAAAAAATTTAGTGAATTGCTAGTAAAATGAGTGAGTCTTTTAAAAATTTTTCAATTTTTATTTTTTAACTATTATTATTTTTTTTGAAACAGAGTCTCGCTCTGTCCCCCAGGCTGGAGTGCAGTGGCGCGATCTTGGCTCACTGCAAGCTCCTTCTCCAAGGTTCCTGCCTCAGCCTCCGGAGTAGCTGGGACTACAGGCGCCCGCCACCATGCCTGGCTAATTTTTTGTATTTTTTTTTTTTTTTAAGTAGAGATGAGGCTTTACCGTGTTAGCCAAGATGGTCTCGATCTCCTGACCTTGTGATCTGCCCACCTCGACCTCCCAAAGTGCTGGGATTACAGGCGTGAGCCACTGCACCAGGCCCCAGTTTTAATTTTTAATATGGTAATATCAATAGATACAACCTGCATAAACTAAAGCTCTTTGGGGCCTTCCATGACATTAAAAATGTAAGTGGTCTCAGGATAGAGAAGTTTCAGGACTATCACTGTACATTTTTGTAACATTTATTTTATTTATTGTTTTGCTAATTTATCTTTATGTAGTTGCTGCTTTATAAGATGTAAACTCCTTGATAATAAAAATGTCATTTGTTTTATTTGCTAGTGTGTTTAATGCCATGATGTGCATAACTGGCATGTAAGAAATATTTGGAGATTGTTGATTGGCAGAGATTAATTAAATTACCCTCATCATTACATAGGTAATTAAGCTCAGAGCAGAAATTAAAACTGAGATTTCTAGTAGTATTGTGAATCACAGCTAGAAAATAAAATCTGTCTCTAAAGTGGGAGGATTTCATATTTTAGCATGGGATTTTACACAGGATCAATTGGATTTTTTCTCTAGGGACATTGGAATGGAGACTAGGCAATGCCGTGTAGCTTAGCTATGCATGATTGACCTGTAAAGCTGTGTATCCACTGTCTGTATTTGGGATTCGATTCTCATTGGAGGGATGCCTTGATGAGCCACATCAAATATTTCAACTTCCTCCTGGTAAGTGTCCCATTCATTTTGCAGCCCAAGCTTAGGGAATAAAATTATGGCTTTCTTACAGAGGTATGAATTTGTTTGCTATAGAGGTGATATTTACTTTCAAAATCTAAATTTTTAAATATCCACAATTAGGTATTGGCTGAAAGAAATTTATGTATAAAGATGAACTTTATTTAAGAAAGTGTATTTAGACTTCTCTATAGCTGGAAACCATCTCAATCTTTCTCTTAATATCTTGTCTTCTTATATTTATTTGTGTGCCTATGTTTGCATCTCATTTCTCTACATGGCTGGTGTATTAGTCCATTCTCACACTGCTATGAAGACATACCTGAGACTGGGTAATTTAAGAAGAAAAGAGGTTTAATTGAGTTACAGTGTCACAGAGTATACAGGTAACATGGATGAGGAGGCCTCAGGAAACTTACACTCATGACAGAAAGCAAAGGGGAAGCAGGCACAATCTTCACATGGTGGAGTAGGAGAGAGAGAGAGCATGAAAAGGGAAGTGCTGTACATTTTTAACCAACCAGATCTCCTGAGAACTCGTTCACTATCACAAGAACAGCAAGGGGGAAATTGTTCCCATGATCCAATCATCTCTCATCAGGTCCCTCCCCCAACATTGGAAGTTACAATTCCACACGAGATTTGGATGGGGACACAGAGCCAAACCATATCAGTTGCCTTATATTATTAATTACGTGTGGCTCATCAAAGCATCCCCCCAATGGGAATCGAATCCCAAATACAGACAGTAGGTACACAGCTTTACGGGTCAATCATGCATAGCTAAGCTACACTTCATTGCCTTGTCTCCATTCCAAAGTCCCTAGAGAAAAATCCAATTGATCCCATGTAAATGAGTTATCTACTCTCTCTATACCATTCTCTGAGCCTAGGGTGGTGGCATGTTTAGGTTGGGAGCAGGAGTGTTGTTTTACATAAAATGTAAAGCTAAGTGTATGTTCTTTATGCAGGAATACAAAGAAGTAGATATATGGGAAAGGTCTGTACCTTTAGGACTCCAAATTATCAAATCCTTCAAAAGATGTTAGATCTTTATATAAAGTGATAGGGAATTCTTACTGATTTTTGAAACATCAATCCCCAAATTATATAAACTTTTGCTTTAGTGGTTTTAATACTACTTGCCATAAGGCCTCTGGGAGATTTGATCAAAAACAAAAACGATATCGTAACTACAGTAGTGAGTCATGCATAATGCCTAAATGGCAGTTTTAGTTGGTTGTCCTAAAAAATAACATTACTATTCTACATAACTAAGTTTGTTGGTTTCAGCATGACATAAATAGGCCTTTGTTTGAAAATAATTTGAATGTAACTATACACATACATATTGAAACTTTTCAGGATACATTTTTACTATGAATTTGCTGTATCTGAAATGTACAGAAATATACAATGCAGATTTTTATATAAAGCATAATATGAGAGAAATTATGAAATTTCAAAATAAGCTTTCAGTAGTATTGTAATATGCTTTCGTAGAAACGAAGTTATCCAGAAGGCACAAGAAGTCGCAGTGTGTCCTAAGTCAGCAATGCACAACGCCTAATTTATTTTCCCACAAGTTTTATGTCTAGAAGTTACATAATAGCTAAGAAGGAGCTTAGAGAAAAGCTTTAGAATAAATGAAACTAAGAGCTATAGGTTGTCATTACAATATTCTTTAAGAGCTTATCATTGTCCTGCAATAAATATATTGCTAAAAAATTTGCTCAATAAACAAACCTTGCAATAAGGTGACACTGAGGCACAAAATCACATACTTTTAATACTGTTTTCAAAAAATATTCATGAAATAAAATGTCGAAGTCCTTTCTACGTTCAAGTTATTAAATAAAAATTGACTACAAAAAATATATTGCACATTGGTTCTGTTCACTATTAAGAATCCAGCTTAATAAGAAAAATGAATATAGAATCTATATACAATATAGTAATCATTACAATTCGTGTATGTAGCTCTCTTTGTTTCTTGTTGTCGAAGTAAGTAGTAATGATTCTGCATGATATATTTTTATATTGTAGACTGCTAATGGGAAGATATGAGCATGTCAACTTTTCCTTTGTGGGAGAGGTTAGGAGACTGAGTGAATGATCAAAAGTGCTGCAACACAACACAGAGATTAGCTGAGTCTGGAAGGGGAAGATAATCCATTGTGCTGATGATAAGTATCCTTCCATTAGAGACAGGTGTTAGTTTGAGTTTTGCACTGGGTTGGAGAACTCTAAGAAATTTAGACATTGAAGTTATTTTTCTTATTCAACTTTCATTAAAGAAAATAGCTTTAATGTTTTTTGTTTGTTTGTCAAAAAAAGAAAAGAAAAGAGGGCCAGGCACAGTGGCTCACGCCTATAATCCCAGCACTCTGGGAGGCCGAGGAGGGCGGATCACCTGAGGTCAGGAGTTCGAGATCAGCCTGGTCAACATGGTGAAATCCTCTCTCTACTAAAAATACAAAAATTAGCCAGGTATGGTGGCACACACCTGTAATCCCCTCTACTTGACAGGCTGAGGCAGGAGAATCACTTGGACCTGTGAGACGGAGGCTGTAGTGAGTTGAGGTCCCGCCATTGCACTCCAGCCTGGGTGACAGACAGGAGTCTGTCAACAAACAAACAGACAAACAAACAAACAAAAACTCTGTTATACCAATTAGTAAGTTACTATATATGTGAAAGAGAAATCCACCAACAGTGTATAAGGGTGACAGAATCAAGGCTGGGGTATGGAAGGAGGGGAGGTTAGCTAATGGCATTTACTTAGAGGAAGAGAGAGCAGGAAATATTTTTTCCAACGATGTGGTTCCTGATACAAGATCTGAAAATATGATAAGGTTTGACTTGCCAAAGTAGGGCAACAGCTTGCCAATGGAACAATGGCTGCTTCGTAAAACCATTTGCTCTGAGTTCAGAGAGTAAAAAACTTTTCTCCTATTTTCCTTGACTCCCTCATGCATGATCTTGAATTCTCTGTATTTTCCAGTTTGGGATATCACTACCTCTATCAGTTAGAGTCCACCTGCTGTAATAAACAACCTACAAAATTACAGTGATATAAATAAGTGAACTCTATTTCTGTGTATAACAATAGTCCTGGTAGTCCAGGTTATCAGGCAGCTTTGCCCCATGAAGACATTCACAAAATCAGACAATTTTCCTCCTGGGTTCCTACTATTCAATAGTTTGTGCCCTTGTGTACTCAGTCAAAAATAAGCTGCTTCCACATCTTCATTCCAGCCCATGGGAGGGGAGAAAAGACTCACCCATACAAAAAAGCTTAACTCAAATCACCCAGAAATAGCACCCAATATGTTTACTCACACATTGTTCCAAACATGAGGTAGATATGCATACTTAATCAGAGGTAAGCCAGGGACATACAGGTTTTAGCTGGATGGTCAAATGTTTAGATAAAGATGTATTTATAGGGAAGGAAGAAAATAAATTTAGGGAGAAAAGCACTACTTGTCTAATTTCTGATTTCTTCAAGTTATCTTCTATTCAAGTTGGATTTGACTATGCAGTCAGTGATTTGCTTTCATTATGCATTTCCTGACCGTAGCCTTATCCCTGGTTCTATTTTTATCACCCCATTACTATCTTTCATCCTCTCATACATGCTTTTTTCTTTATTTTCTGATTCCACTCCCACTTCTCAACCCAAAATTTTGCTGTAACTTCCTTCAGCGGTATATTTTGGTACCTAGTACAGTGAAAGTGCTGAGTGTTAAGGTTCCATTAAAGGAAAAATATACATTTTATATAATTGCATTAAAAAGATTACTTACAGTTAAGTAAATTAAAAAGGATATCATGTACATAATGCATTTGATTTGGAAGTTGAGTTTTATAACGTTTAAAAACTGTAACAATATAAGGATAAAAGATAATTCTAGATGAAAAATTCATACATTAAAAATAGTATTGTAGAAAAAGTACAAAGTTTCTATAATAAAGAGAAAGTAATGCACTATGTTGGATTCTGTGCATGCAATACATTTTTATTGTGCATCAATTATATTTATACTGTTTTGGCTACTGGGCTTCAATCATGATCAAAATAGCTAAAACTTATTGGCTCTATGTATTCAGCATTCTACTGGGGTAAGAGGGATAATTAATTAAAAATACTTAACAGTGAATTACTCATTAGGTTAGAAGGCAAGGCATCAAACTCTGCTACTTTCCATAGATATATCTGGTTCTTTACTCCTCATAAACAGATGGAAGATTTTCCTCACTCCTTTGAGATTATGCATAAGAAAATGATGTATAGACATATTCAATAACTATTATAGGCATATTCAATAACTCATACACAATTTCCCATGTTCTCTTCTTTCTTTCTACTGCTGACGTAACTGGGTAAACAGAAGGTGGTGGGTAAACAGATCTATCTTAGTTTGATAGATCATCCATCAGCGGAATCCAAAGGAACTACAATCCGCTGAGACTCCCTGCAGACCTACATGGAATTTCAGAATTATCTTGGTTATTTAAACCACTGAGATTTGAGACTGATTGTCACATTACTATAACTTACTTACACTGTTTGAAACAGGCATTTTCAATTCAAAACAAACAAAGAAAACCAAACAAAAACAGGTCAGGGAAAGGAGAATAAACAACAACAAAGAGAAGATGATTTGCAGTTCCAAACAGGTGGTGAATAGAGATTTTCCATCGAATATGAGACAGATGAATAATAAATGAAGGTGCGGGAGATAGCAATGAAAATATTTGGGGGAAGACAGTCCAGACTGAGGAAATAGCCTGTGCAAAGGGTCCTAAGGCAGGGATTTTCCTTGCTTATTCTGTGTATAGAAAGGCCATTTAACAGAGTGACCAGACAATTGACTGACTGAAATCAACAAGTGGATTATTGATGGTGGGTAGATCGTACATGGCCTTTTTGTCATTGTAAGGATTTTGACTACTTGTCTGAGTAAAACATGAGAAATGATATTAAGTGACAAAATAGAAATTGTATTTTAAAGGAATCA